GAAGAAATGTTTGACAAAATCTGAAAATGAAGATGCGGAAAGAAAAAAATCACGACATAGGACTGTAGCTGAAAAGAAGCAAGGCTCAAGTTTCTCTTTTAAGGATATTGGAAAATCATTAGACAAGTCTGAAAAAGCATGTTCTAATAGTCAGAATGATAAAGTGAAAGTAAGTGGAAAGTCTAGAGGTTCAGAAAAAAAAGCATGCATATCTTCTAGTAAGATGGATATAAAGGAAGTTAAAGAAAGCTGTTCAAAACAAAATGAAATTTATTCCATGGATTGCCCTACAGCTTCTACATACGAAGATAACAATGTACTAGAGCCAACTACCATTTCTTTGAAGGCTTCTAAGAAATTTGATGAAATAACAGCAAACACAACATCAGTAAGAAACTCTGGTCATATATCAAACAGATATAACAATACAAAAGACTTGCAGAAGGAAAAATCTGCAAAGAAAACTAGCAGTAGCAATGAGAATCAGAAAGATAATGATAATTCAAATGACACAAAAATAAAAGAAGACAACATGCCATTATTAGTGCCAGAGTTTGTTTTAAATTTTGATTCCAGCTCAGATAGAGATAGTTCCAGATCTCCACCTGTTATAACAAATCAAGAAGAGGTTGAACATGTAGTAGAAGATGCAAAATTGATGGAGAACAAGGCGATTAATCAAATGGAGAAGATAGAAGAGAATAAAAAACATTCCTATAAAGACTGTGGAATGACTATTGCTGATATTATAATGCAATTAGCTTATCATGAAAAGGTGAAAATATTTGCATTTCCCTTGATTGCAAAGTTTTTATATAAGCACAAATGAAGCTAATTTTAATAGTTTATTCCAGGCAACAATAAAGCATAAAAGATATTGTAATTTATGCGAGAGATGGTTTCCTACAACTTCACGACATCGTCGACATTTAGCTGGATACCAACATCGTTATATGGAATCAACACAGCGTAAAAGCATCCATACACTTTTTATTCTGTTCACTGGCAAACCTTGTCCAAGACTTTTGCCAGCAAATGTGATTCGTAATGACTGTTCCATTGGGGAATTGACACCTTTACAAATTGCCGTTCAGGTACAATTATGCTTCATGTACTATTCGTCTACTGTGAATTTCATATACTTAATCTTGTCAATTACGTTTCATAGGATGTTGCAAAATGTGTTGAATATATAGAACAGGATCAGAAAACAAAAGAATGATAGCAACAAGTTACTATAAATCACTTTGGCTGCATAGATGCATTTCCTGTGATTAACTATACTGGAACAAATAATGTGAGTACCTTTAAAAAACGTACTATAATGCTAAACACAAAGTTTATTCTGTAATTCTTTTAATCTTAAAGGAATTGTACATTTTTAGTATGATTACTACTGTTGGTAATCATACTATGTACTATTATAAATATATGTATACAAAGACAATGAAATTAACATCTATGAACTTTGCAACAAAAGAGAGCTTTGTTGATTGATGTTAATTGTTAAGAGTTACTTGAGAAAAAAAAATTATTTTAAGTAGTTAGATATTTAGCCAAAGATCGTAGTAAAAAAAAAGATACATGTGTACGTTAGATTATTTATAGTTTTTGAGGACTACACAGTCTCTTATTTGTACAAATGAAAATATGAGTAATATGATAAGTGAATGTGCTCGTTATAAATCTTTATTTATATCGTGAAAAGACTTATATATACGATGTATAAATACATATATATATATATATACACACAGACACATATATATATATTTATTATTCTTGTTTAAAAAGAATATGAATCCTTGCAATGTTACACAGACCTAAATCTATATATAGTTACATTTATATAAAATTATATATCTGAAACAGGGGCAGTCAAAGTAAAAAATGTCTATACTATATGTTACAAGATAAAATGAACTATGAAATGTTAAAGTGTCCACAATTCGTACATTTCGTACATTCGTAGACAATGTTAGTGAATGTTAAACAATTTAATCTAAAAAAGAAAGTTAAACAATATGTAAATTCTCCAAAATATTAATTATACTTATTACTGTGATTCTAAATCAAATTTTTCTATTCTACTTATCTTTAATAAGTATAAACTAACTCTTTATACAATTCTTTCAAAAATAATTACTTATTTAATTGACATAAGCAGTAACATCTCATAGTTCAGTAGAAAATCTACATATAATATAAATAATGTTCACTCCCCCGTCACGTGTTTATGTCTGATTCAAACCATTTAGGTGTGTCTAATGAGTTATTGTTTATACAAATAACAAAGCTTTTAATTGTTTTTAAATGTTACAAATGTTTTTCTTATTATTCTATTGATATATGTATATTGGAAGTGGGAAAGATCCTTAAAGAATAAGTTCCTGGTTATAAAGTGGGATGGAATTAAATATATTCCTTGTTAAGAGGCTAAAAAACAACTATTATGCTAATACAGGGTTAACAGACTATATCTACAATTGTCTTATAATTTTATTCTTTCTGGTTTACGTTCCAAAGAATGAAAATACATTAAAAGTCACTTTATTGAAAAATCTAGTTTAATCATTGAATGCAACCAAATAAAAGAAATATATAATATATATATATATATATAAGTCTATCGATTGTTATTCCACTTAATGTTTTGTTTCTCATAAGTTTGTTTTAACTGTTTCATATTTTATTTGCACGAGTGCCTTAAAATACACCTAACAGTATTTGTCGTATCGTGTTATGTATATTATGTAAGATTAAATGAAGCTATATATTTCTAATATTCTTGTATAAAATATGCATTATATATGCTGCAATTATGAGAACATTAAAATAAATATACCACTGCATAATAACTATAAATGACATTTCTATAAATATGTACATCATATTTGTTTTATAACTCTTTTTCCATAATTGTAATAAAAAGGTATCTAAACAGTGGTATCCCTTGAACATCTTCACAGGTATATAAAATAAGTATAATATAGTGGTATAAATTAAGAAAAATGTTCTCATGATTGAAGTTTTGTTATGCAAATATTTTATGATATCATTGTGTGTTCTATGTGCCTAAATTTTAAGAAATTTATATCCATCTAAAATTCAAATATGCATAATATTACTTATACATATACATTTAATATAATATAAATATGCATCACTTGTATATTATATGAAGAAAAAAGGTTTCAAAGTTTTTATAAATAAAGAAAAATTGTATCAGTTTGATGTATGTTGTACTTCACAAAAATTGTTTTGAGTGTTTAATTGTGGCTACAAGATATCCAAGTAAATTATGTACATCCAAAATATAAATATGTATAACAACTTGTATCGTATGATATCATAATTCATTAGATTTGAATCTTATAGTTTCTCCATCTAATTTGACTACGTTATATTAATTAAAGAAACAGGATATTCTTAAAAAATAAAATTACATCTAATATATGCTTCATTTAGATGAGCAGTGGTTTTTTAGAAAAATTCTATTATTGACTTCCAATAATGTAAATTATTATAAGATTGCACCGACTCAAATATTTTCAGTTAGAGAAATTTATATTACAAAAAACCTTCTTTTATTTTCTAATTTAGGTTATTCAATTTAAGAATTGAAAATTTTTATGTAAACACACAAATTAAGAATCAGTTTGTAAATCAAATTAATTAATAGAGATGGGTCCATACAAACATTTATTAACTAGAAAAAAATATTTTCGTAAGTCAATATTATTAACACCCATCTACTTGTGATTTATAATTCTTTTATATTTTTAAACATTTAAATCATCACATATAATAACATCATTCAAATGAGGCAGATCTGTATAGAAAAATAAGTGCAATTGTATATTTTTACAAAGCTTACAACTGATAATTCCATACAAAAATACTAACTTTTAAAATGGTTGTTAGCTGTGCAATTCTAAATCAGATAAATCATTTATACAGTTCTGCTAATTTTATACATAATGTGTGATTAACATAGAATAATTGTGTGGCATAAATTACAATAATTGTAAGCGTGTTTTAGATTTGTAGCACTTTTTTCAATTTTAATATTTCAAAAAAGTGATAATTTAATATTTCTATAAATTTTGAAGAAATCTGAAGAGATGAAATTTATTGAAAAGTTTTAAATGTTACGTAAATATTTTGAAACGTACTATAGAAATGTTACATATCTAAACACTAAAACCATTCCATAGTTAAAATAAGAGGTTTAGTTAATAGAAATAAGAACTGTATGAATCAATAGATTATTTTCTGTTAATGTACTTAGGCTACAGAAGTGTATGCAAAACTCTAGTTAATATATTAAAGAAACAATAAATAATAAGAATTACCATGTATGGTGTCCGTTCCTTAATCACGTGTATATCCTTTAACTTCTCTTTACCCTTACATATGCATATATATATATCTATTTTTCACATATATAGATGGTACAACTGTACGATTATCGCAATGTATTATTTATAGAAATTAAAATTTATAAGGTTACGCTACTCACAATTCTTTTTCTCACATTTGAACCGTTTTGACTATACTTACAAAAAATTTAAAAATGAATTCAGTAAATTTATATAGTAGGGACATCTATAATTTTTTACTAAATTTATAATATAAATTATTGTCTATAGTTGGTTTCGTAGGAATTGTTGGCGAATTTAATTTTGTCATTTAATGTAAATAAATAAAACGAATAAAATTTATATATATATTTGACTGATCGAATTCATTTATTTTTTCAATGAGCAATCTAGTTGTTTATTGTAGATTAAAATATTTGATTCTTACAGTTTGAAAAATGATTTTAAATTTTATAAAAAGATATTAATATAGTTCATAATATCTAAATTATATTTTTAATTTCTATTACATATTTTTAAATATTTCTATTACGTATTTAATTAATAATTTCGATGTTATCCTTGGGCAGTTGATTATTTTAATCGGATAATATATAAAGTTATTGATCAAATTCGAAAGGTGAATAAGCATGCGCGTTTTTCTTACTATGTAAATGGCAAGAGGATGATGTTTTACAAAGATTTGCAAGTGTTTTTCCATTTTTTTACGGTTTTGTTATACGTTTCCGGTGAAACATTAATGAGGAAAAATGAAAAACGTACCAGCCTCAGAAACAATTATCAGATGTGCCTCGACACTTTTAAGATTCAAGAAGATAAAATTATTCGAACGCAGGAATCCTTAGACATGGGTGCTAAATATTTGAAGGAATTTGAGTTTAATTCTAGAGAAGAATGTTTAAAATTCTGCTGTGATACAGAAAGTTGTGACGTGTTTATTTTTGAAGAGAAGGTATAGATAATTTCATACAAAATAAATAAGCAAATAATAAAAATATGATTTCTTTTTATTTCAACAAATAAATGATTTATTTTCCACTAATAATAAAATAAATTGAATACCATATAGAATCCTGGAAGTTGTTATCTTTTCCAATGTGGCCCATTGCATGACTTCAAATGTAAATTTACAAGTCATGCTAACTATAGTAGTGCAGTTCGTAGTAGCTATAGTACACAAAGCAATTCACAACTGGAGAAGGAAAGTACGATTTCTCAACAAGAACATGAATTGAAATCTCTTAGGTATGCAACCATCATTTTGATATTCATAATATTTTGATGATAAAAGAATAATATACATATTTTTTATTTATATGAAGGAAATTAGCAGACCCAGCACCAGCAGAATATTCTTTCACAGAATCCCCCATGAAATTAATTGTAACATTGGCACCAAAATTATCATTAACAACATCCCCACCTATCAAACAGGGTATATACAAATTAAAGTTTTGCGTTTCTAATTCAACAAGACAAATGTATAATAATATATGTTTGTAGTTTGTACTAAAAACCAATATGAATGCAGCTTATCTGGAGATTGTATAGCAATATATAATGTATGTGATGGTATACCACAATGTACTGATGGATCTGATGAAGCAACAGATGTATGTCCCATAGAAAAACCAACAAGTTTTCCTTCTATAGCCCAAGGAGTTCAACCTCCACTACCATACCAACAAATGGTTGATCGACATAAACCCTATGCTCCACTGTATCCTCATGTTTCAGAAGTTAATTCTTGGAAATTGCCTAATTTAGCTCAGCAAATGATACCACCTCAGCTACTTCTATATCCAGCTCGTCAGATGGAAGGTGCTCCAGGGTATCAATGGGATTATCAACCCATATATGATCGAAATAAAGCCATTTATAATTCTTATCCTGAACAAAGCAATCTAAATCCTTCTGAACGTAAGTAGTATAATTGTAAAAGATTATTTTATGAATGAAGTGGAAGTGCTTTAAACTGTATCATTTTTAGAAGATCAGTCACATATTTTCAATCATAAGGGATTGGGTGTAATAGGAGAAAAAGAATCAGATGGGTAAGGCATCAAATTTTAATTTTAAAGAAGATATTAAGCAAAAAAAATATTAAAGTAGTTATATTTAATCTTGAATTATTTTAAATTGTTTAGTAGTACATATATGGATGCAAAACATCCATACAAAACGTCGTATTTCCTATCAGCAAATAGGCAAAACAATCAGGTTTATCTGTCTCCATCTCCAATATCGAATGTGCAACAGAAGCAAATAATGGAAACAGAAAAGGATGTTATTATTACAACAACACCTGCTTGTGATGTATGTGTATTCTATGATTTCTAATTTCATTGCAATATTAACATTATATTATTTTTTCTCTTTCAGACATCACATGAACAAAAAGATGTTTCATTAAAAAGTCAAGAAATCGGAAAAATCGATCAACAAGGGGAGAAACATATAGTACACGGAAAAGAAATTAGTCAGAATATATTAAAAAATGAAACTCTGAAATTTAGTCATATTCAAACAAAGGAAACAAAAGGTGCGTTATTAAATAATGTTATTTTTGTCCAATGTTTTATTGTAATTTAAATATGTCATTTTAGAACATAAAAGTGTAATAGTTATAAAACATCATAGCAGAGAGCATGGAAGAAATACCTTAATGGCAGAGCACTTGAAACAAGCAAATGAAAATGAAGTTTTGAGACCCAGGGGAGCAGTCATATCGTTGGCTTTAGGACTTACAATAACAGCTATTACAGCTACATTAATTGCTTGCCGATTACGAGTCGTCCGAAGACGTGGAAGACGGCACGGACTATATGCTCATGATGCGGATTATTTAGTAAATGGAATGTATCTCTAAGTGAGTATACGAATTTCTTTAGTCAAAGGAATGTAGTGATTTTCATACTATTTTAAGTAACAACACAATAAAAAGTGTTTTGTCTTAGTAGTCTGATTTTAAAACTAATTAAAAAACGAAAATGTTTTGATTCATATTTATTTTATATTTGTGAAATTTGTTTCATCATCTTATGTGCAATAGATATTGTGTGAAAGTAATTGTATTAAATTTGTGAAAATTTGCTATAAAATTATAATTTTTACAACGAATATTTAAAGTATTTTATAAAATAAATTTTTGCTCGAGTAACTTACATTTATCAAATTAGTATCTTAATTTGTATAATAATATTTGATTTTTAAAAAATATTGACAATATAAAAAGAAATCAAGAATTTTCGAATAGAATGAATTCTATGATAAAGCGCAACATGAAAATTTACTGTATAATTTGAAAAGGCTTTAATAGATTTAATGGTGAAACTGTACACAAGCGAATGTAATACACATGTATCTTTAATTCAGTGCAGCTGTGTTTGAAAAAAGAGAAAACTACCAGCTTATAACAAAATTATATTTATATATAACTTTTACAATCATACAATACAAAGGTATATACGATTCTTAATAATAGAATCACTGTTTTCAAGATTATAGTAACTAGCTATTCTAAAAAAATTGTTACTATGTCGTTTTTATACCTCAATTGTATCAAAAAAGGAGCTAGGTACCAAAGTATTTCTTCAAAGTACTTACATATCTCTAAAAAGGATTGTTCTTATTTCACATGAATGTTTCTAAATAAAGAATACATGTAGTATATACATAAATTCGATTAATTTGTCCTGTTGGATACAATGGAAATATATAAAAATTGCTATATCATTACAATTGTGTTATATGTGAATTTTCCATACTTAGTAATTTTATTTGTATAAATACTACAACATTATTAGTTTAACCAAACCCAATAATTTATATAAAATATGAACAAAATAATGGAAGCATTTAAATTATCAATACTTCTGCTACTTAACTAACTATATGATAGCTAGAAATTGATAAAGAATCTATATTAAAGAAAATTGTTCTTATATCTTTTTACATTAGAATTTTATGGATTAGAATTAATCTTTAATATAATTTTCATGTAAAAAGAATAATTACATTTTATTAAAAAACCAATTTCTAATGTATAACAAGGGCATATACTAAATTCTGTTACAGCAAATAGAATTGTATTTGATTAAATTATACATAATGTTTCTCTCCAATATATATTTCATCAGTTGTATTTCTGATACTCCAATCACTTTGTATATAAAAAGAGATGGTATTATTCGGTTCAAATATGAATATTATATAATTGAAACAAATTTATATTTTCGTTAAAATAAAAAATCTGTATATATTTAAAAAAATTATTTTAATTATTTTTTATTCAAAAAAATATTAACAGAATAGAAATAATTTCAATTATATGCAAAGTAGTGGTCTGTACCATTATTGCAATGACAACAAGTGAAAATTATGATGATATTTATAAATGGGACTGTACGTATGTTCAAAATGAAATAAAAATACCATTTAATAACATTGAACATTGTATTGTATGCAACTATTGTCTGCCAGTAGCTGCTGCATATTGCTGTGCTCGTATAAATTCAGGGTAATCGATATACCCATCATTATTACTGTCATCTAAAGAAAGTATTGGATCTATTAAAGTTACCAATTCCTCATCCTTAAATAATTTCTGTCCAGTGTTGACTCCAGCTACCTCTTTATTCTCTTGTTCTGAATATAAAGAGTTTATTATATTCTTCATGCAGAAAGTTAGTAACTTAGTAATTAACTGATTCATACATACCATGCCAATGAATTAAGGACTTTATAAGCTCACAACCATCTAACTTATTATTATTATCTGCATCATGCATTTTGAAATAATGAAATTGCAATTCTTGTTCTGACATTTTACTAGTATCTATTGGAACTTCCATGTGCTCTGCGATATGTCTGCAAAAAATTTGTTAATAATTATAAGCTTAAGATTATAAGTTGATGATTTTACATCTATGTAACATACGCTTTTTCATTAACTATGTTGGCAGCATTAAGTATTTGTTGTGAATGATCATGCCCATGCCCATGCCCATGTCCTTGTTGAACCGGTACTTGATGAGTTGGCATATGTTGCTGTACAGGTACTTGTTGAATTGGAACTTGTACAGGTACTTGCTGGAACTTTATAAAAATTTTATTTGTAACGATGCATGATTTCTTTCTAAATTATTTAAACTTGATTCAAATATGCATTACACATAATATGATAAAATACATTAAATGTGTTTTAAATTATATTTATAATTATGATTATAAGAGGTACTAGATCTTTGGTATTTTTATGTAAACCTACCTGTTGTTGAGGAATTTGTTGTGGTACTTGATGTACTTGTTGAACAGGCTAAAACAAATTGAATATAAACTGACCTATGAATGAAACAATGATAAAAAATGCTATCCATGGATTTATAGGTACTGTTTTAATATTCCCTAGTAATAAGAAATAATAGAATCGAATTTTGACTTAGACTTCAACATAACAGCAACCATATGTTTGATTATCTTAGGAGGAAAACTTACTTGTTGATAATGTTGAGGTGATACACCTGGTGGAACTCTTTGTTGTTGAGCGTGTGTATATTTACAAGCTAAAGATCCGATTATAAAAAGCCACAAAGTCCAATTCATATTGTAATGTTCTGCAACAAATGCATGCGTTTAATTACATATTTATTATATATCACAGAAATAATACGCACATATTACATCTAATAATACTGCGTTAAACATTCAATTACGAAAATAGTAGGAAATAAACAAAATTTTTGGAAATACCTTATGTTATTCAATGTATACAAAAATTGACATGAACGCAAATATCTTGTTCATTGGCAAGACTGTATACCGGATTACGAATTTCGAGGTTATGTTACAGAAGTCATAGACTGACGTGGACAGATACCGCAAGTGTTACTTTATGATATACATACATATTTGCAAACCAGAGGCTCAAAGTATGATAAAAGCAGAGATAAAGGATATCAACAAGATAATTTGTTATTAAACATTTTTTATTAAAATAACCATTCTAAATTGAAATAAACATCATAATAGAAATGAATGGAATAGTTTTAATTTTTAATTCTATAATATTTTTATATGGATTAAAATAGGATTGATAAATCAAATGTTATAAACAAAATTCTTCTGTTAAAAGAATGTAATAAAAGGCATCACTTAATTTTAATTTAGAGAAATTAGTTAAATAATTATAATATGAGAATCACTGCATTACTAGACATTATTTTACAGTCAATAAGAATGAAGTAAGAATGAAATCTTTAAATTATAACTTCGAAATCTGTTGATCAATCATTTCATGTTAAATGTTGATGTACTTGTGAATTAAAATTTATTTCATCCTTAAAATAGCAACATTTGGTAAAAAAAATATGGTTTTGGTGCTTAGGTAGTGAATATCTGGGGAATATTTAAATATCTACAAATGGGCGTTGAAATATTTTTTTATTTATGGCGTATCAATTTAAATTTGAATGTACATAAGCAATAATTATTCAAATATGTACGAAAAATTGAAACCAATCTTTATAACATACTCTTTATTTTTGTTCAAAATTTAAAATGAGTTACATTCTGCTTCTAATCAATGAGTTTATCCCGCCGTTTTGAGATCCGTGAGTACTTTCACAATGGCGGAAAAGTATTGCTCTACACGATATCAAATTTGTGATGTGACTGTAATACCTCTGGTAATACATTAAAAAATAACTAAATAATTTATGATTGTTGAGAAGAAATCATATTACTATACAAACTATTCATAAATTGGAAAATTTAAAAAGATTTAATCGTATTAGCAGGTATGTACCAAAACTACACGGTTTCGTTAATTTTAGCACTAATTTTTGTTTTATACAATTTCAGAATTCAGAACTTTATTCCCCCATATTTTTAATTTGTCATTACTTGTATTGAAATAAATATATTAGTATATAAAATATTGTGTGTTTAATAACCCATAATTTAAGATACACATTTAATATCTTTCTTTTATTTTAAATCCTTATCTTTAAAATATTTTGTATGCATTTAATTTTAAGTAATTAGGACATATATATTGTGATGTTTTTACATTCTTTAGTAATTGAATTTAATAAATAAACCGTAAAGAATATGTACGATAGCTTGATAGTTTCATAATGTAAAATTTCTGTTAGTTATCATTGCTTTTTTGTGAGTTTTGTATTTTTTCGGTATTTTTGTCATATTTTAGAAGCTCAAATAATAAATGGAAAATGCCCCAGATACTAAACCACAGGAAGGTTAAAAAATCACAGAAGAGAGTATTGGTTAAAAGGAAACATTTTTTAACGAATTACCATGAAACTAAGTCTTATAAACCATGTGAGTTTCAAAAAGAATATATGTCTATTCAATTATACAATATTTTTAATATATTTAAGACTAATATCAAAATTTGATTGTTACAGTATGTAAACAGCTACAAAGTAACAACAATTCATTAGCAAGAGCATTATCTAAAGAAAAGCATGAAGGTCAGTTATTATTTTCCCAAAATGTTGCTTTAATTGCTGAAGTACAAGATTTAGGTTTAGCTTGTAATAAACGTGATGTAAGTAAAGTATGTTAAATACAATAATATTTTGACAATTTATTAAAATCAGATTTATAAAAATATATTTTTTAGGCCATTATATCAAATATCCTAAAGAATGCTAAAGAAATGCTTAAAATGTTAGTGACGTTGACTGGTTACTTAACAAATACAATTTCATCTTGTCAAGAATTTGTAGAATCTGTTGCTACGAATATGCAGATGTCTTATAATTCTGCTGGAAGTAAGCTCTTTTACATATTATTTCTTTTTATATTATGTAGATTTAAAGATAGGTTCCTAGAAAAAAAAAATTCTTCCAGAAAGGGAATCACTGAAAAGACTGTCAATAAAATCTCCAACTAGAGGAGTAGTGAAGCCTATGGTGAGCGGTTACACCATTACAAAACCCACCATTAATTTAAGTAGATTAAATATGCAGCATATTAATAATTCATCAAACTTAAGTATAATACCAGAGGTAAGAACACCCCCCAGAAATCAAGAGTTAAACAACTCAATGTCTCCTAATGGAGTCTCTGTAAGACGTACATGCGTAAGTATTTTGTAGAATGTTTTAAGTTTAACAAAGTTGTTTGAAAAATTGAGTTATCGAACAAATTAAATATTGCAGAAAAATGGTCGCACATACAGAATGCCTGAAAGATTGTCTCCTTTAACAGTTGCTTCACAAAGAGACAGTGGTATGTTCCGTTAATGATTCATATTGGCATATTTTGAAGTTAATATAACTTCAGTATTCATTTTTAGATGAGAGCGAACAAAGATTAAGCGAGAGAAGTAGCAGAAGTTCTACTGAACGGATGTCAGGAAGAATATCGGAAAGAATGTCAGGAAGAATATCCGGAAGAATGTCAGAAAGACTGTCAGGAAGGCTTTCGGAAAGAATATCAGGAAAGGTGTCGCAAAGAATATCAGAAAGAATTCCAAAGTCGAAGTCAAGATCTCCGAAGAATCGCAGTTCTCGATGTGATATTG